GCACTCAGCTGGCACAAAACAATCTGAAATACCTACACCATATATATACCCTCAATAGGCAAAATGCCTTATATATTGGCACCTCTGAACAAGAGATTTGTTCTTGTCTCAAAATGCGTTAGATGCCTTGCTATTCATCTGTGCAATGTTGGCTCTCCTTTCTGCGTACTATTTGTAAATTATGATTGATGTAAAACCATATAACAGCTGATCATATGTAGTGTGATTTTATTGTTATTTTGTACAATAAAGCTTTTCTTATTGTTTTACAATGCATGCACAGTTCATGCCTTAAACTTCCCATTCAAAGAGGATTTTGCTTGTTGTTTATATGTTGTGGGTGATGGCACTATCCAATAACACACCAGTACCTAATATATACTCTCAAGGTTGATTTAAATCTTTTCATACACTAAGGCAAAAATCAGGGATATCAGATGCCTAGCATTTCAGATATCTGAAACTCAGACATTCAGCAGACGCCCGACTGGGTTTGCAAACTGTTTTACTTCAGTCCTATTTATGTAAGCCATATTTATATCTGCTAGAGTTAACTTCATACAATTGGGGTATTTTCGCATAGCATGTTTTATTTTATTACATGCTAGAATTTTTTAAATTGTTACATGGGATACACCTATTTGTTACAAATGTCAATTGGACAAAGATACACATACTTTATATGGTTGTATATTTATATGATGACTGTGCTAAAATCAAACCTTCTGGTTACAATTCACTAACTTCATTTTTCAGAACTTTAAAACTCCTAACATTTGTGATTTAATCTAGTATATACCTGACATTTTTTGAAATTACACCAAAAGCACCAGTGCCTCCAGGCATGCGTATACCTTAGTCATCTTGGAGATATATTTTTTACACATAGTAAGGCCAATTTGCACAGGATCCAATTAACCTACGAGCATGTCTTTTGAAGTGTGGGAGAAAACCCACACATGCACAGTGAGAGCATGCAAACTCCAGGCAGGTAGTGCAATGGTTGGGATTCAAACCGACAACCATAGTGCTGCCAGGCAGAAGTGCTAACCTTTTACCACTGGGCTACCCAACATCTGGAGGCTTGCCCCAAGAAATGGCCATTCCACCATGGTTAAAGTGCATGTGTGCGGACAGAAGGTGGAAGCTGCTACAAAAGATGGAAAAAAGGTGAAAACATGTATTTTATTAAAACTAAAATGGAGATTGTTTATGATACCCAAAAATGTAATTAGGTTAATGTCTACATCTGTTTTAATCAAGCATTTTTTGTATTGACAGTGGAGATACAGTAAGTGACACATTGCTTGCACTCACTGCCTGCAAGTAAGGACAAGTTTACCTTTAAATAAAAAATAATAAATGCACATTTTTGCAGGTAAAAAAAAAATGTGCATTTAATATTTTTCCCTTAGGAGTCTGGAATTGTAAGGCTCCTGCAGACTATCAGTGTAGCTATCTGCCTGTACCTCTGATACAGGCAGGTAATTACTTCAGTCCAGGAAGAATCAATGAACTAGAAGAATGCTCACTAGCATCTTTGTAGTTCATTAAGAACTGCAAGCCATTCATTACAAAGGCTAATGTTATTTGAAGTTTATTCATTCACAGAACTCTGAATGAATGAATGATGTGGCAGTGTGACTGCACTTTTTTCAAACAGTGGACGTGGGCAGAAGAATCCTGGCCTGCTGTCGGGGGAGGGGGGGGGAGCTCCAGGAGCTGGACTATGTTACATGCTCTACCCTAAAAATGGATAAAAAATGTAGTGCAAAAGTCTCAATCAGTGCAGCCAAAAAACAAAAATTATGGTAATAACATAAGAATACCAAAAATTGGGAAACAACATATATAACACACCAAGGTTGCAAGCTAGCCACTGCAGGGAGATCTCACAACACCTTCAAATTAACACTTGTGGACACCTTGCAAGTGGCTGTAGCCGGTCTGTTTGATGCGCTCATGCTAGCACTGTGTTAGTGCCATATCTGTAAGTGTTTTGCATATATTAGCATAACAAGTATTTAAAATGAAGAACACTAGTGTGGCTTTTTCTTTGCTTTTTATGAACATATCCCTAAACTTGGAGGTGCTGAGAGAGGCTAGCATGGTATCAGAGGATTAACCCCTGAAGGGGACAAGCACATTATGACCTCACTGTGGTCATAAGCTGGAGGTGAGCAGACACGATTCACTTATGGTGGAGGCACATTTTGACACCTAAAGTTTCATCATTATATTATGATACTTCACACTGAGCACGGTGGTGATTCTGCTTAATCTTTGGACTTTGTTTTTTTTTTATCAAATGATTGAATTGGAGGACTTTACCATTTATTCACAGTTGTCATTTGTTCACAAATGTGGATTATATTCACTATATATAATTGAAATATGATTAATATTGTAGACTTTGATGTTTACTAGTTTTTGATGTTTTGAGGGGTTGCGCTGCACTATTTTATTAGTGTGGGAACATATAACATGTTCACAAAGGTGAATTTATCCTTTAATGAATAAAGCCCTCAGAAATGTTTGATCTGAAATGCTGATAAACTGAAGTTAAAACAGAGGAATAATCTACAGAAAAAATAATGGAAATATTACTCAACAACCATGTACAATGAAAAAGTGAAAGTTGCATAAATACAGTATTACAAATAATCATTCAAAGTATGCACTTACTACCATTAACCTGTAGTTTTTTTCTTATTGTACTATTGACAAAAAAAGAAAAACATTGTTAAATATAGAGACCTATGTATTTATTGATTATACAAAATGTCTAAAGGAAAAATCATCCACTCTAAGCTCCGTCCCATGCTCTTGAGTTTCAAAATGGGGTGCATTGTTGGCTTTAGAAGTAGTCCACTAAGCCAGGAGATGAAGGAATATATTAAATTGAATGTATCAAATGTATCAAAACACCAGTGCTTTTCAGTCTCAGCACTTTGCTATTGTGACATTATGCAGCATCTGCTTGCAAACCTTATTCTCTGGCATGGCTCCTTTAAGTGAATCCTGTATTCAGGAAAATGATGAACTATGGTCCTTACCTTCAACAAACTATTGAACCTTTGACACTCAAAATGAATTGGCTGCACTGTGATAGTTTAACCAGGAATTATTTTTACCTAATGTGTCTAGGCACTCATTTTAACTTTTGCCAACTTTATAAGAGAGAATTAGAATTACTATCGAAAACCATTCATCTGTATTGTAAATACAGAGAAAGCAGGGGGACGCACACAATTCAATTTAAATACCGTGAAAAGATTTACTATATCAAAAAGAGCTGGATATACAATTAGCGCTTTTTAATGATAACGTACGTACAGTGTCTAGGGGGCATTGCTGCTCATTTGCTGTTTCAAATGAAAATTAGAATTGTGCTTTAATTACGCTCCTTTGTTTCTTTTTAATTAAAAAGAAGAGTTCTGTGCACTAGCATTCAACACATTGTTAAGGTTAAAAACAATCAAGGAGCTTTCTTAATTTCTTTAAGTGTACCAGGGTAGATTCATAACAATATATGAAAGCACCAGGTAGTGTTATGTTACTGTAAACTCAGCATGAAAGAGAGGGATAAATGCAGTCAAATGCTTCCCCACTGAGATTTTCTGAAATCTGTGTGATGGTAATTATCTTCTCATTCTGGAAAGTCTAGCTTAACACCTTTTCTTTTTTTTTTAAAAAAAAATGTGTGTTTGAAGGACTCTTTGTGAATACAGAACTATATAAGCCAAAAACCAAGAGGTAAACAAAATTCCTTGGCAGGGATTTCTTCATGCTCCTGCTTTTTAGCGTTTTTTCTCATCTTTCAAAAAACAAAAAGAATTGCATGCTGAACGTTTTTAAGCATTTTTTTTTACCTTTTTCAAAGACATCTTTTTATAAGCAGAAACACTGACTTTTTTTCACACGAAGATTTCATATACAATGCTGACATGTATAACTGACATCAGACAAGCCAGAATTTGTCCTTGAATTTCTGCGATTCTATCTGTAACATTGGATTTCAAAGTACAGTTTATAAAGCTACAAACTGTATTACAAGTAACTTTCAAGCAGACTGTACTGTAGGTTCATTATTTTAACATGCATTTATTACATTATTAATTGCATAAAAACGTAATGTACCAGAGCAGCATAAGGACCCTAGAAGCTCTGTGACTTTTGCCTTGATCAGGGCTTAGAGGTTATGGTCTTTTTTCAGTCCTCCGCTATACACACAAGGACACTCTATTATCTGCAAAAGGAGAAGAGCATGGCTCTGCAAAGAATAATGTAGCTTCTTCAAGTCTCACTATGCTTCTTCCTTTTTGTTATGTTGCTTCCTTCTGGGCAAAGTGGCTGAGAAGGACTAGGTAAGTGGATGGCAGCAGTTTAGGAATTAATGTTAAGGTAGGACATAAAAAAAACTATGCAACCCAAATTAAATCCTCTCAGTAGGTGTCCCTGCTATCCCTGCAGAGTTTGACAAATGTACAAGGAGTCTGCTGCAAAATATTCAACCAAACAATGGCTGATTCCACTCAAGTGCAGCTGCTGTGTGCATTTTGATAAGTTTGTGCTGACTATCAAAATTTAAAGTGGAGTTGCAGTTGAATAAAAAAAAATAAAAGTCCGCAGCTGTAGCTGCTGACTTTTAAAATACAGACACTTACCTGTCCCTCGGTCCAGCGGTGCCCTCACCACGGCTGGTTTCACCAGCCACCTTCTCTCCACGGTGCTGGCAACTTCAGTGTGGGCACCCGGTCATGACAGCTTGCGGCTTCACAGCCAGGTGCCCACTGCGCATGTCCCAGAATACTACGGGGGGAGGACAACTTCCGCTCCTAATTGCCTTAGGCAAGTTTGACAGGCACCTGCCCCCCAGCTCCCCAAAGGTGCCAATCCTTAACGGGGAAACAGGGGACAAAGCCTTAAAGTGATACTGAACCCAGGACCCTGCATTCACAGGTCTCCCACAGTACACACAACATGGAAATGCAATTATTTTAGTAACTACAAACTGCTAAATACCTTTTCTCATCAGCAGTTAGCGCAGTCTTATGACTTAAGCAGAGTACTGGTTAAAGCTTGTAGGAGGAGCTTTCTTTCTGCTCTAGGAGGATGTGAAACCCTTGACCCTCTGTCTGGACAGTGCTGATTGGCCCTGTGCTGATCACATGCACTCTCCCAAGAGAAAAAAAAACCTCTATAGCAAAACACACCAAACTGAGCATGTGCACGTGACTACGGATTAAGTCTATATCAGGTGGTCATTTCAACAAGGGGCAGAGAAGAAGGGATCAAGCAGCCTTTTACACAATGCAGAGGATTAACCCCTTAGGTTCCACAGTGAGTATAACAAGCATGCATTACTGCATATACAGACTGACTTTACTGTTGTGGGCTTAGTAACACTTTAAAATGGAACTTTCCCTTTCGGGTGGAGCAATAGCTGGTGATTCTGCCAATAAAATACTTTCAGTCTTAGGATGACAACGTACACTCACACTTCTGTATCAGGACAATAGGAACGAGATAGGACAGTGGAGACCTGCCCCCTACTATTCTCCATAACACAGAAAGCTGTGGTTCTGTTGTCCTCAGACATTGCTGAGAACAGTGTAATTGATAACAGTCACAATAGCCATTGAGCACAGGAAGAATCAGCTCATATATATTTTTGGACTTTTCAAAGAGACATAAAAAACACTTTCAATACTATATTTAGAAGACCAAAAGGAATTAAATAAGAGAAGTTAATTTTTAGGGTTTACATACACATAAGGGATTGTGAATACAGAAATACATGGGAAAGAAAGCTGATGACATCAGATTTCACCTGGATTAGGTCACTAAATAGCATGTTGGCGACAGACAGTCAAGTGAATCTTCTTATTTAGTACACAGCTTGTAAGTGAGTGCATTGTGGGAAAGGTGTTCTGTCCTGATCAAAATCAGTTTTGAGACAAGATTGACTAACGCCTGTGATATAAATTACTTAAAGTGTTACTAAACCCAGGACCCTGCATTCACTATATCTGGTCTCCCACAGTACACAGAACATTGAAATGCAATTATTTTAGTAAATGTAAACTACTAAATACCTTTTCTCATCAGCAGTCAGAGCAGTCTTGTGACTTCTATCAGTGTTTAGCAGAGCACTGGTTAAAGCTTGTAGGAGGAGTTTTAATGCTCCCCTGATTGTCCTATGAGGCTGCATAACCCCTGGCCCTCTGTCTGGACAGTGCTGATTGGCCCTGTGCTGATCACATGCACGCTTCCAATAAAAAACTCTCTAGCAATACACACCAAACTGAGCATGTGCAACTTGCCCCCCAAGGGTCTCTTCTATCAGCAGATGGATTGGGGACAGTAGAAGAAGGGGAGCATCAGAGAATACATGATCAAACAGCCTTTTTACACAATGCAGATGATTAACCCCTTAGATTCCACAGTGAGTATATTAAGCATGCTTTACTGCAGGGGCGTCAAACTGGCAGCCCTCCAGCTGTTGCCAAACTACAAGTCCCATGAGACGTTGCAAGATTGACAGTTACAAGCATGACTTCCACAGGCAGAGGCATGATGGGACTTGTAGTTTCTCAACAGCTGGAGGTCAGCCTATTTGACACCCCTGCTTTACTGCATATACAGACTGCTTTTACTGTTGTGGGTTTAGTAAAGTTTTAACAAGAAGATGCTAAAATAAAGAATCCCTTTCATGTCAGGAAAAATTGTAAATATCCAATTGATGGCAAATCCCAGGATGTTTTTCATGTAAATCAGCAGAGTAGATATTTTGAGACTTGTTCATCACTGGCAGCAAACATACTAACATCCATGTCTCGGAACAGAAGCTACCATCTATGATAGCTGGAAACAAAATTAGATGTAGCAAGTACAACTTGGAAATGTGGTCAGTCCTAGGTCAGTGTAAAATACAACTTCATGGTTAGTGTCTATGAAGACCTAACTAGTTTCTCATGCAGGTTTATGATGCCTATACACAAGCTACGCACACACATAAAAAACCCCATAAAGAAGTGTCCAAATCATTTTGCATTGGGACAGCTTTAAGCTTCATCAGGTTTGCATGTGTATGTGAAATTGGCAGCAACACAAGTAAACATTTAAAGATTTTCTTGGCCGAAGTTCAAGCTGACTGCTCATCTTCACATTTGAACATTCACAATTACAAAGCATAACGTTGACTTCCTATTTAGGACACACCGAACAGTAATTTTGCTTGACTCGTTTCCCATTATAGAGTCAGAGAATGACTCAGATTAATGGAAAGTGGTGCCAATTAATGGTCACTGAACCATGCATATTGCAGACATTTCCACACCTATGTCTTTTCTTGCTACAGCTAAGAAGAGCCAGTTTATTTATCACTCCTCAGTCTTTTCTGAAGTGACCTTTTTTATTTTTTTCTGTTCAAATGGCATCTGTAAAACTGCACAAAGATATTTCTGAAAAAAGAAGTATACCTTTGTTCAATGCCGTCATTCAACACTGAGTAAAACCCTTTGAGGTGACACATTTTCTTGGTGCCCTCACCTCAAACTTTGTTGGGGCATATTTATAAAGCAGATAAACTAGGGTTCACCAAACATTCACTACAGGTGAATTTTCCTCATACACATGTTTTAAATTACAGTGATTAAATCATCACCAGTGAAAGGTTAATGAAAGTAACATTCCCTGATTTACAAATACCGTATGTTCCTAAGTCTGCAGTCATATGCTAAGTTCTTTATCATCTTCAAGCATAAAACAAACATTTTCAAACACAACCACCTTAACATTTTTGCAATAATATTACATTATTTTCCCTATAGGGGAATAAAAACATGTCACACAAGTTCATTTAGGAAATGAACTTACTTTATTCCAGCACTTTTATTTTGGAAATCAAGGTATTTTCATTTTATTTTCCCCTAGAGGCAAGTCATCAACAAATGTAGATTTGATGATGTCACACATGTTGAATGGGTTTTAATGTGAAATAATTAAAGCTTGCCAACTCAGGGTGATGAAGAATCTTTATCCTACTGTGTTTATATGAGCAAGTGCCTGCTAATTCATAAATCCATTATTCTTCATGCAATTTAAAAAGTGATTCTCAAACTGTATACTTTTTGTATTACTTCTTCATAATAATGTTGTAAAATACACATCCATATGCATACCAAATGCAGAATCTCTATAATTTATAGTTTGTTGTTCTCATGTTCTAAAAAGAAAATTTGATTTTATACAGAAAATGAACATTGGTCTTTCCTGCAGGATGAAAATTGTATTGTTTGTTTAGGAATAAACCAATTTAAAACAAAATGACCTGTAAAATAATCAGTAGCTCTTCGAGACTTGCAGGAAATTGAGTATGCATTATTTATGATGGCTTCCACAACTCGAGAAAGAAAGACAGATATATTCTGTGAATGTAACAGTTATCAGAAAATCTTGCAATAATTCATATATCATTATGAAGTAGCATGCTTGGGAAAACATAAAAGATACTGTATCTGATAGAAAATGTCAAAGAAACTGATTGAAAGGACAGAACGAAATCCTTACCAGGAATTGGTAGAATATTTTTCTGGAATATCAGTCAAGTGTTATCATCAAAGGGATCAAAACACTTTGGTGGCAAGACCTCATCTCTACTCAATAGTGTATATGGAAATTATAAAATAATATCTTGCACCAAACAATGTACTGATGATGTAATAATCTAGCAGACTTCAAACAGTTCATAAATCTCAGTTTTCTGAAAGGGAAAACAATTTGTTATTTTTAGCAATGTTCTTATAGAATATGTAGATACGTTAAACTGTATACTCATTTCTGGGCAAAAAACATTCATGGAGTCAAAGCTGAACTCTGGGCAGATATACAAGGCTGTAATCACTACCACTTAATTAAATTAGTTTTTTTAAAGTCATCCAGTTTAAGTACTTGTATTTGACTTGATATCAGCAGCTTGCAGCAACTGTACAGCAGGGCTGGAGTGTGAGAGAAAGAAGCAGCACAAGGATCCAATCAGTTCCAACCTTTAAAACTCCTTTTCCTTTATATCAGTATTTTCCTTTTCTGTGCTGCGCAGCTGTCTGGGTGTGGCACGGGCTCGATCGATCGGGCAATCAAAATAAACCAACACTCAGGTGGGATACAAGAAGATTGCGAAGTTTATTACGTACATTACAGCTTATATTGACAAAAAAAACAACAAACCCAAATTATCCAATAGTAAGACAAACCCAAATTATCCAATAGCAAAGTATACCTTTCTTTTTTTTACCCAGATACTAGACAAAGTTTAACTTTCCCTAAACAGTTAAACCCCATTCTGCCCATTCTACCTATTTAGTTATGTCCCGGATCTCTTATCTAAGTGTCAATCTATGATTTCTAAGAAATTTTGAGAACATCTGCAATATAGCCTTCATCCTGATACAATTGCGGTTATACCTGTTACATACACATTCTAAAACATATTCTAAAATTTTCCATATAAGCTTGAATATAATGTTGATATTTCTTATTTCATTTACTTAAAGCATCACTCTAACTCGTTATAAGACAATGCGAGCATAATGAAAACAAAATGGTATATGAATCAATAGCCCTAGCTCATATTTTCCCACAATGTGCTTAAAAGAGCAGGAAAAAGAAGAGTGACAGAGAGATGAGCTCACTATTGTGCCGTTTCTCCTTTTACTCTTCATGACAGTCTTGGTTCAATGGAAGTAAGTTGAATTACATTGGCCACCAGATTGAGGACATCTAGTGGTGGGAAAGAACGAATGCATGGAGCAGCTTTAGATTGAAGTTGAATATTTTATCAAAATTTGCTTTTGCTTTTATCTTTTAATTGCTATTAATTTTTGTCTTGTTATTTTGGAGTTCTACTTTAAAGTGGTTGTAAAGGCTGAAGATTTTTTTTTACCTGCATGCATTCTAAGCGTGAAGGTAAAAAACCTTCAGTGTGCAGCTCCCCTCTCAGTCCCCCCTAATACTTACCTGAGCCCAATCCCGAGCCAGAGATGTACACGAGAGCCAAAGCTCTCCCGGGTCTCTCTCTTCTCATTGGTTGAGACACAGCAGCGGGGGCAATTGGGTCCTGCTGCTGTCAATCACAGCCAGTGAGAACGATGTGGGAGCAGGGCTAAGCCATGCTCTGTATGTCCTCTAAACACACAGAGGCGGCTCGGACGCGAGCAAGTGCGAGTGCCTCCAGAGCAAGCAGCTTGCTCGGGGGGGCACTCAGCAGGGGGGAAGGGCCAGAAGTGCAGCAGGACCCAAGAAGAGGAGGATTGGGGCTGCTCTGTGCAAATCTGTAGAGCAGGTAAATATACGACCTTTATAGAAACTTGAATTACTTTAGATAAATCACAAAACACTCAAGCACAAAAATGCTTCATTAGAAACTACTGCCACATCTACCAACAATCTAATTAATTTCTCATGGTTCCCCAATATATATAGCCAGATGAATAGTCACCTTGGGGGTGGAGGAGTTTTTCGTATGTAGGCCAAAAAAAACCTAGCTGAGAATTAAATAATACCCTTATGAAAATGATTAGATGAATGTGCCAAACAAAAATGTCAATGTGAAAAATATAAAGAAAATTTGTATTTTGTCATGCTTTGGTCATCTCGGTTATTTAAGCATTCCCATAAGAGTGTTGTTTGAATCTCAGCCAGGTAATTTTTTTTTTTACTTACTAATACATCTAACCAGGGCTTTTTTTCAGTGGGAATGTGGGGGACGCAGTTCGGCACCTCTAGCTCCACCAGCACTGAATGTATGTAATGGCAAGGAGTTCTGGGGTGTGCTGGAGAGTCTATTGCTGCTGGCAGCTGGGGGATCTGTTGTTGCAGGGGGGTCTATTGTTGCTGGAAGGGGATCTATTGTTGATTTGGGGTTCTTATGTTTCTGAGGGGGTCAATTATTGCTAAAAGGGATCTACTTTTGAGGAAGGAGTCTATTGTTGCTGACTGCTGGGAGATCTATTGTTGCTAGTGAGGGTCTATTGTTGCTAGCAGGGGTCTATTTTTACTGAGGTGGATCTATTGTTGCATGTGGGTATTTTGTTTTGAAGGGGTTTGTTGTAGCTGTGGGGGGCTATTAGTTTTTGGGGATCTATTGTTGCTGGGGGATCTATTGCTGCTGGAGGGTCTATTCTTGCTGGCAGCAGGGGATATATTTTACTGCATTTCTTATTATTAACAAATTCCATAAAAATGACTTATCATCAAAACATGATACTTGGTTCTGTATTCTCTAAAAGGAGCAGTACAGGGAGGTGGGTAGGGGATGGAACCAAGGGATGATGCTCCGAGGTGGGTAGGGGTCAGAGACAAGGGGTGACACAGAATTGGGGAGTACCTGCACATATTCTTCG